AGCCCCATCAAGGTCTGTGCCACCCCTCCACACCAGGTTGCCCGGAGAGACTCACAGAGCTGGAAAAGCCTGCGGGAAGGGAACCGGGGAGCTCTCAGCTGCGGTCCAACACCCTCACCCCAAAATTCCTCCAGCCGGCCTCCAAAACAGGACGGCAGTGCTAAAGCTCCTGTCAAAGCCAGCCTGGCCGTCTGCCAGCCCCCCAGCCCTCTGACTCATTTTACAGATGGGTGCAAGGTCTGTGCTGTGGGGGGGGGTCCCCAGGGGACCCAGCAGTGCCAGCCAGCCCCAAGCCCAAGGGCTGGGGATGCTGAGGGACCCGAGGTGCCTACCGATGAACCAGGGGGAGCCTGTGGCCCCAGCGGGGGGAGCAATGGGCTGCGGGAGTGCTGGGGGCACACGCAGCCCCCTGGCTACAGCAGGGTCGTGGAGGAGCTCTGCCGTGGGCGGCAGCCCCTGCGTCCCGTGGGGCTGGGGAGCTGGGTCCCCAAAATGCCCCCACAAGCTGCCCCACAGCCCACTGCCCTCCCGGATGGAGGGGAGGTGGAAGAGCTGGGAGCAAGGGGCCAGACCCCACAGGGAGCCAGGGCCAGCAACGTCCCCAAGCCCCGGCGGTGCCTAAAGAAACCCGAGCGTGTGCCCTCCATCTACAAGCTGAAGCTGCGGCCCAAGGTGCGTCCCCGGCGCGACCACCGACCAGGCAAGCGCCCCTCGCGCATCCCCACCCCACTGGGGCAGCGCCCGCCAGCCCCCCGGGGCCCGTATCGCGGGACAGACCCCCTTACTCGTTCAAAGTTGGGAACGATGCCAAAGCTGGAGCTGCGGTGCCCAAGGTCAGTGGGGACAGTGCGATGGATTTGCTCCCAGGCACCCCAGGGGGTCCCCCCACCTTGCTCTTTGGACCCATGGGGTTTTCTTTTACTTAGTAATTCTCTTTCTAAACAGGCACTCTTGTACTGGTTGGATGGAAAAATCCAGCCCCAAATTGAGAGAATGGGTCACTTTCTGCAGGGAAGAGGGGTGTAACCAGCCCCTACAGCGTCCCCCTAAATGGGGGACACCCCGCACCTGGCATCCAAGCACACAAACCATCTTGCACCTCAGTCTTCCCCATCTGTACAATGGGACTAAGCATCCTCATGTCTTACAGCACCAAGAGCCTTAATGAGTGTTTGAGTTGCTCAGGTCGGGGGGGAGAGAGGTGTGTCCCAGGGGGTGACCCTTGCTGGGCCCTGCAGGCTCCTTATGGGCGAAGGTGGGAGACCCGGGGTGGGGGTGGGTGCTCACCCGGGCGGTCGTGGTCAGGCTGTCCCCAAGGCTCGTTGGAGGCACCACTGCACGCCCAAGCCTGCAGCCACGGACCCGGAAATGTTGTTTGTGCAATAGAGATGTACCAAAGCTTTTCTGTTTCAGCATCTTTTCTGTGTGGGTGGGGATGGAGAGGGGATAATCCTGATGGGGGGCCATGGCTGGCAAAGGGAATTCCTGCAGCTGGTCTGCTTGCCTGTGTGCACAGCAAACATCCCTCCGAGAGCCCCCCGGGGGCCAGAAGAGCCCCATCTTCCAAGAGAGGATGAAGCCAGACCTGCACCCCTGCACAGGAGCAGCAAGGGCGAGCGCCAGGGCCTTGAGGATGCAAAACCTGCAGGCAAAAAATAATCCAGAAGGGCTGCGAGAGCAGCAGTGGGGCGGCGAGCAATCTGGTGCCATGGGCAAAGAGCAGTGAGGCAGGTACAGAACAAGGCGGGGACAGACCTGATTTTTAATTCCATTTCAAAGAAGGGGGTGCAGGGCGTTACAGGTGGTGTTGACACCTCGGGAATCTCCGACAAGAAGTCCAGGGGGGACGGAAAGCCAAGTCCAGGCAACCGGGGACACTCACTGGGGCAGGAGGAGGAGGAAAGGGAAGCAGCCTCGCCGGGGCTGGACTGAACCCAGGCGTCGCCTCCTGCGGCACCAGGCACATGGGGAGCAGAAACCCGGCACTGCCCTGGGGACAGCAGTGGGGACGTCCTCAGCCTCCCCCAGGCTCAGGAGCTGGATATTTTTAGCAGGACCAGGGTGGCGTTGGGCGAGCGGCGACGCTTTGTACCAAGGGCGTGAGCAGGGGCAAGGCGCGGGTCGGCTGTAGCTGCTGCTGCGCTCCGGGCTGCTCTGATCCCGATCCCCGCGAGCCTGGCCATGCGCTGGACCCCCCGCCCCGGTCTCCCTGCCTGTACCCCGCAGGTACCACCACCACCTACCCGCTCCTGGGAAAGCAGCTCTTTGTAGCCCTCTTTTTTTTTCTTGGGAGCTGGGAAATGCTGTCGAAGCCGTGAGAGTTATTATTACTCATATAACTTTCTCTGTCTATAAAGTACAATAGAATATAACAATTATATTTATAACATATTTTTTTCCAAAATACTAAATAGATGCTATAAAAACCTGTAACTAATTGTGCTATAAACTGCAGGCTACAGGGTTATAACAAACAATGTATTGGCTTACTCGTTGATATGTGTATGTCGGAGCACTTTAGAAATGCTTTATTATCAGCATTTACCAAGGAGTTTCCTTCTCAAACAATTTGGAGGGATAAAGCTGGCCGGAGACCGATAACATGGACTTACACGTGTTAATAAATCCTGACGAGATGAGGTCGGGAGGGGCCGGTGGTGAAGCCCAGTAGGTTTGCCATGAAGGCAAGGGATGGAGATGGGTGCCGCTGCCCTTCCCGGCCGGGGCTCTCGCAGCCACCCGAGACAGACCCGTGTCCCCCCATCGCCCTTGCTCTTTTTTTTTCTTTTTTTCCTCCTTATTTTTTATGCGGGGAGCAAGGGGAATGGGGTTTGGTTCCCGAAGCGGCTGCTGGGGGTGGGAAGGGAGGAGCAGGGTGAGCCCCAGCCTCT